GAGCTCATCTGAAGCTGCAGCATTATCAGAACTGACAAGTATTTGTGTCGCTTTACCAGCGCCTGCCAGACATTTTGTATTACATTCGGAGCGACGGCCCACCTAATCATTGGCCCTCATTTAAAAGTTTACTAGTCAGGTGTGTTCTCGACAGCTGGCTCAGGGCGCCCTCTGGTGGCCGGTATTTCACGTTAACGAAATACGAGTTTGTGATTTATACTTTATCAGTAAAGGGAAAACGTATTTTATTTTGCTTACTGTAGTTATTACTAGTTATCATTTGTGGCACCGTTACAATTAGTAGTACTTTATCAGTATTATTGGTTTTGGTAGTATATTTAGTTACAATACACACATGTACAAAAGGTATACAGCAAATCTCTCAAGCTACCACAAACAGAAAGTAATCGTAAGGATTCTTGAGCTACAAAGAAGAAAGTGCGTAAGAAGAGCTCGGAGAACCAGAGCACATGACACCCTGACCCTTAACAAAGAGGACACGATCCGGACCTGGTTCAGACTTCTCTTAATCGGTACAGCGTTCGGGCTGCGGTCGGCTTTTTCCGTCGTCAGTCCCGAACCCGCCTTTCCCGGATATTACGTAAGCAATCCACCGGACGCAGCTGTTGTTCAACAAACATGGCGTCGGTTACAACAGGTGAGTGAGTGGGCTTGTATTTCTTTTCTTTGATTGATTGATTTTTATCCGAGTGAATGTGAATATGTCTGAAAGAGAAAAAGGTCTCGATCTGTCCACTAAGAGGAGGAAACGAGGGACTGGTTTGAACTCTCATGTTGTAGGATCTGCGATGAGTTTCTGGAGTTGAGCACTTAAACTCCCCCCGGCTGTTCTAATTCATCTCTCTGCTCGGGTTGAGGGACTGTGCGGGGCTCAACTTCACCGGACACACAGCAACAGCTGCACGGTGCTTTTAGCTCTCGGGTCCACCTTGAACTGAGGGATTGGAGCGGAGTGAAGCTCATTAGTGAATTAAATACAAGACCGTAGGGTTGTCTAGTCAGCTCTCTTGTTGGTACGGAACTTGTGGCCGGGAGATGTGGTCATGTTTTCCACGCCATGCGGGACACAGTATTTTCCAAAGGAATCTCAGTTTACTGATTTATTTTCTGTCTTTAGGTGATAAATACAGTACATTGTGTGTGTAAATGCAAGAATCGTGTATTTTGAAACGGAGTAGCCAGATTCCCTTTCAGTTTGATTAAATTCGGAGGGGTGTGCTGCAGTCTGGGTGTGAGTCACAGGCTGCGGGGCGGTGGACACGAACGCGTGTGTTCTGTGTAAAAATCGACATCTCTTATGTTGGACCGGTACCGCCCATTTATAACGATGTCCTTCCTGAGATCGTTTGCTCTCGATTTAGTTGAATAATTCCCAGTGTCCCGAGATCGCGTAGTCGGGGATCGGTTTGAATTACTGTACGCCCTCAGTAATCCCATGTTCAAGTAATCATAGTATAATAACGTATTTTTCGTGTTCTCTGTGTAGGCGTGCCCTACAATAAGGCTATGGTGAGGCATCCCTGGTCCTGGAGAGCCCCAGTCCTCCCTTCATTTACCAAAACTCTGCTGTCTGTTTGAATTTTGGCTACTGAAGCAGACAATCCATCCAGTTAATTAGTTCCGGCACCATTTGTCGTGAAAGTATCAGCACCCTGTAACTTGCAAGGAACGCATCTGTCCATTCCTGACGACTGAACTGATCCAAACTCGTGTTTCAGGTTCCAGATTGAAAGTTTAAGGGTGACCTGTAGACCTGCTGGATTGTTGCTCTCTGGTACCTGGGGTGTCCAGCTGTGAAGTAGTGTGTCTCTCAATGCTCTTGAGCTCATTTTACCAGCTGTAGTTCATCGGACGTCAGAATACAAACATCTTAAATTCAGTCCGGTTACCTTTTAGTTTTATACCCCTTCCTGCAGCCGATTTGTCTATTATTAGAAAGCTGTGTTAGCATTTCTCTGTCAAGAGCTGCAAAGTCTGGCTTTTGTAAGCAGATTGCACACTCCTCTTTCTCCAGCTACATCCGAGTGGATTCAGTTCTTCAAAGACGCAGGAATCCCCCCAGGCCTGGCGGTGAACTATGCCGTCTCCTTTGTGGATAACAGGTAGGACTGGGGATCTGTGCCCCTTTTACTGGGCTGCTCTTTACTCAAGGACTCACTACTCAAAATAATCCTTCAATTTTGGTAAGCAAAGTGTTTTACCAGGTTGGCCATTTGGGCAGGAAAGGCTGGTTGTGTTCTTTATATTTGTCTTTGTTTTACCCTCCATTAACATCTGATGTGAAAAGAATGCAGTCTGTGGCCTGGCTGACACAGATATGCTGTCTTATCACCTCAGCTGGTGCCATGAGCCAGGCTTCAGCAAATGACAGTCTGTGGTACTGTATCAGACCCGGGCTGGTGTGGAATGCAAACCCTAGACCTCTCATTGTGATATATAATTATAATGTGCATTTTGATTCAAACCGGGGTTTGAATCCGAGTCTTCTACCCAATCCCATGCTTGGGCATGG